CACAGTCCATCTACGGACACACCTTCCGTTGGTTCAAAATTCAATATGAAGGTTTACAAAGTCTAAATCTTAAAAAAGAGTCATAAGAATAGTCCTGTTATAACAATCTATATAAATAAAAATGAATCAAAGAAATGCATGTTCTGAAAGACTCTGTTCTGAATATAACTTCTGAAAGACTGCACCAAATTGGACTTCTTTTTCTTTATCCCTTATTGTCAAGACAAGGTTTGTATAAAAGAAAACTAAAAAAAAACTAATAGATTAAAAAATATATCATTATCGGAAATGTGGGTGAGTGAATGATGCAGATGACTGTAAGAGATCTTCTATATATTGACAAAACATTACTGTCAAGATTGACAGTAATGTTTGTAATAAAGTAATGTAATAATGTCACATTAATTTATAAATACGGCGGAACTACAAACTACCTCACTTAATAGAAATAATTTGATTTGATTATAATTAATTGAAGTTTTAATATTAAGTATTAAGGAATAACCCGATGAATCAATACAAAACTTAACCTAACAACTGAACATGTGCATGAGCATTGCGTCCTTTAGTAAGACCTTGTTACAAATCTTTAATTGTATTCACTATTGTCTTTATTTACTACCTATTTTTAAAATTATTTTTTATAATGCATAAATGGTACATGGTATGCATGGTACTACAAAGATTGTACAACATTATCCACGGAGAGCGCGGAGTTAAAATTCAGTTGCAGAAGAACGGGCTAAAACTACGTATATCATTGAGTATGAAAAAGAAAGAAAAGAAAGTGGAAAAAAAATCTAAAAAGTATTATAAAAATTGTTGGTAGCAAGGGGATATTTAAATATACATGGCAGATATAAATTTGATCCTTTTTTTTTCGAAATAGAGCTTAGATTATACTATACCAAACGAGTCCACTTTACATGTCCTAGATTTGGGTCACTATCAGTATGATACAAAGAAGTACAACAGCGTGCAATAATCGAAGGCATTATGACAGCTAGTATCAAGAATATTTTTGACCTGATACCTGAAGCTATAGAATTAAAATGGACAATAATATGTGCGAAATTATTTTTAATATTTAAAAGATCGCTTATTTTATTTTAAAAATTGAATTTCAGTTTGACCTTGGCTCATTTTTTTGTCAATGCAATGTCAATACAAGGTTCAATGTAATATTTTGATAACTTTTTTCGCATGAAACAGGTTAAGCTTTAGAATGTATCTCGCTAAGTAAAAAAGTAATCAAATTTTAAAGTTTCTTTTTATTATAATCTTGTTATTTATTATAGTCTTGCATTAAGCTATACTTTGACGTTTATTTTTAATACGATGTATGTATAATGTCAAGTATTTAGTTCGCTCAGTTTATACTTTTGATAAAGATATATAATATGACCCGTCTTACCAGCGTTGTCGAGTAGGTCAAAACCTCCATTCTAGGGAGAGGCCTATGTCCAGCAGTTGATGTGTGGGTGATGATGGTACGGCGTTAGTAAATTTAGGATGACAATGTTAGATTTTGTGTTTAAGGTTTATAATAATATATTCGTTTGTAAAATACATTTTAAACTTCTCTTTAATTTTTTGTATATTGGACTACTGTTTAATTCACAAATCGCAATAGATACCGCAGGTGTTAGGTCCCACGTATCCGTTTTGTATCAGGGTTGCCACTCGTCGAATAAATCCGATAAGTTATTTGCTATTACGTTCAATTACGAGAATCGTAACGTCTTCTACTTCTACCGAAAACATACTTCAATATTATCTCGTGAAGACGAGCTGTACTACATGATAGCTACTGATCCTGCATTACGCAATGAAAGTTTTCACGTTGATTGGTACATACATCTACAACTTTTTAAGTCCGCGTTATCACATCGCTTGTTTCTCCACCTGCCTTTTGTGTTAAACCAACATAACACCCGTAACTAACTACAATTTTTTACGGTATAAGAAACATCATAAAAAAGTTTTTACTGTGAGCAATTTTATTTTTATAGCGTAAGTGGATTGGTGGAGAAAACAGTGAATAATATGCTTCAATGTCAGTAATGAAGGCATACCAAATTAGGTATGGAGTAACTACCAATCCAATGTTGCGTTATGATAGTCTCCTATTATCCGAGTCGATCCGAGTCGCCGATTAGTATAAATACAACTTCCTAATATCGACTGCCGGGACGCAGGTAATCATGCATGATCCCTCCTTTGTGGTAGACATTATATATATTTAGTGGTAACTAAACTGCTGACAAAAGCATACATACTAAAGAAAAAAAACCGAGAAATTGTGCTCGTCACACAATCTTTTGTTCCGGGTGGGAATCAAACCCTTCTGTCAAATCACGTAGGATCATTACTCATTACAAATTTAAAAAGTATGACATCAAGTTGAATAAAATGTTGTATTTATTTTCTTTGGTAATATTAATGGAGACGTACATTTACAAAGGTTTTAAGTTATTTAATTTTGACATGTAGCAATAGACATAATTATGATATAGAGAAAATATTTTCTTAATAATTTTAACGTTTTCTGTTTTTTTAAAGCATATGACAACACCTTCAGGAACTACTCGTATGTCCTGGAACGATGATGTGATGTAATGTAGCACAGGCTAAGCATTCTGCCAGTGCATAATAAACCCTAACGATACATCTTTAAAATACATTTCGCATATTGCAGAAATTGTTTGTAAAAATTGGCATGAGCAAGCCTATTAGAAATAATATACTTCCTAAATTTATTACTATTTTTTTTAATAATATTTTTTTATTTTATTTACAAATTCTTGAAGGAACAATATTCTGAAGTTTATAGTTATTTAGTGTCTTATTGTTGGTTTTTAGGGTTCCGTACCTCAAAAGAAAAAAACGGAACCCTTATAGAATCGCTTTGTTGTCCGTACGTTCGTTCGTTTGTCTGTCAAGACCCTTTATCTCGGGAACGCATGGAGGTATAGAGTGAAATTAATTTGATATAATTATGTTTTCCTTCTCTTGAAGCTGTGTAAAAATCAAACTTCTAAGTTAACGTGAAAAAAGATACGGCCGTTTATGCCGTAGAAAAACGTATATTTCGACACTCACAAGAAAATCAAAATTTATAGGGTATTTGCGTTGACCTAGATTTATGAAATTTGGCAAGTAATACCGTCTTATACTTGTAGTATAAGACGGTATTACTTACGAACTTGACGGTATAGGGAAAAATCTAAAAACTAGACATTTCTAATTGAATCATAAAAAACAGGGTCTTTATGGTTCTAAGGAAATCGGTCCAAATTTTAAATAAAGTTAACCGAGTCATGTAGGGTATCGTATAAAAGGGCTTCATTGGCACAAGCTTCAACAGATTTTTAATTATTTTTATGATGTACCAATTTATACGGAACCCTCGGTGGGCGAGTCCGACTCGCACTTGTTCGATTTTTAACATTTTAATGACGAGACTTAGAAGCTAAAATACGAGTTTAAGTTATTTATATACCTACGAAAAAAAAGTTCTCCACAGTTGGCAACCCTGTTTTTTCAATGTATAGATCAGAATGCAAATATCTAGTTTTGGTCGTGAGATTGTTCTTGTACTAAAATATTTTTATAAAATATAAAAACACTTTAGTAGGCAGTGTAAGTAGTAGTTAAATAATGAATAATGCCATTTCGGTAAAAGTCTGAGGATTAGTACCTATTGACGATGTCACATCGATTTGACACAACAGTTTGTAACAACAGTTTTGAAAATGAGTTTGTACCGATTCATATATTGTCTACGAGTCTACGAGTTCGTATGACGGTGGAGAACGAAAATAGTTGATTTTAAAGAAAATATCAAAGAATAACAATAACATGTAATTCTTTACATTTAGTTTCTGGGTACCCTAACACGTTGGTGGAAATAAACTATTGCGAGAGAGTCGTTAAACACTTAGTAAACTTTAGTGCATCTGTGTTTAGATATATGTGATTTTTTGAAAAATTAAATGTTTAAGAGCACAAAAAAAGGGTTCACATAATGAATAAGAACCATTAGTCAATCATTAATACTCTAATTAATTTCTAACAAATCATCTCTACTCATGTGATTGCCAAAAGAAATTAATTTACTACAAAGCAATAAAAGTCTGCTGTAGCGGCTCGGGTTATTGGATTTTTTGCTACACTAAGTAGGCTTTAAGCATTTACACCTGTAAACACTATAATTATAAATTCAAAAAAAAATCTTTTAGATATTTTACGAAGGCCATGGTTTCATACTCTAACAGCAACACAAATACTTGTCAACTTTAATCAACTCTGTCGCTATAAACATCAGACGAACTTGGCAAATATTCTTTGGCGAATTCTCTTTGTGCACACTCTGCCTGTACAGTTTCTTAAAGAAGATTGCTCGCGGGTACAATTTTGTTAAAGGTGTCTTACCAAGTTAACGCTACAGAAATTTATGTTTAATCTTTTATGAAGTTACATATTATATTTCAATTTCAAATTTCAAAATAATATCAGGGAATGAAATATGTTTGATTATAATGTCATTTGATCCATGATGTGTTCGTCGAGGTAGTCGGAGGGAGAAGTAATTATGTTTTAAATATGTTGTGAATATGTCTCTCTCTGAGGTACCGCTCATTTCTAGTCGGAATGCAGACCTGGCTCTATTGCACAGCATTGACTTTTTTATGGTATAGAGGGGGCAAACGATGGGTCAACTAATGGTAAGCGAGTACCACGACACATGGACACATGCAACTCATGACGAATAAGTAAGTTACGGACTTTTGGGTGCTCCCCTTCCCCCGACATCACACCCACCACACAGGGACCATTGGAGGCCATAATAAGGTTCTTGCTTACAAGACCCTGTTTTAGTTCTTATATGATGCGTTAATACGTTATATAAACACATCCGCCACAACAAAGCTACTTAAACCCAACTAATAACAGTTTGATCGTTAGTCTAGCTAATTAATAGTTTTTTCTTGTCACAGGGTCTCAACGTAGACAAGCGAAACCTAGCGAGTGCTGAACGAAAACAAAGGACGTTTACAGACAGATCACAGCTCAAGTATGCAAGGCGACTGGTCATCAAGCTTGGTAGCGCTGTTATTACTAGAGAAGATGGAAATGGTTTGGCTTTGGGTAGATTGGCATCGATTATTGAACAGGTACATATTTCCTCTCTTCACTTATATAGCGTAGTTTATTATCCGGTTATGGTATAGGGGAAACTAGTAGACGGGACACATGTAACTCCCAGGAGTTACATGTGTGTCCGTTGGAGACCCTAATCCTCTAATCCCAGGATTAGAAGATTAGGGTCTCCAATCAGAAGCCGAATCACCGAGCTCAGTCGGTTTTCTGTGAAGCATGGCTCGCCCACGTTTATTACCATCACTAGACTATGATATGAAACAATAACGAGCAAGCAATAACTGTAACGAGTTTTAAGATTTAGATTTAGTAGGTTTTCTTACAATGTTTTTCTAAAGTAAATTAAATTTGTACAAACTTCTTCTTTTTACAAATATTTTCGATTAAAGTACTTCTTTTACAACTATAGTAAAGTTATTCATTTAATAAAGAATATTAGCTACCTCATAATACCCAAAAATAGTTGTAATAAATCAGTCTTATAGCGAGCAACAATATTCCCCCGGCTTTTAATAAAGGGTGTCTCAGAAAGAGTGCACTTTTTAAACTTAGAATAATTTTATTTTCGTGCAACTCTGAAGTTTGACAGCTGTCACTCATGTTTATTCCGATTATTAAAAATGGAGCGCTTTTTGAAAGAACAACGCGTTATAATTGTGAAAACCCATTACAGAAATGGTGAATACACAAAAATGACGAATTTTGGGTTCAGCAATTTCCTCATGAAATCCATGAGAAATAAATGCACCCACAACGAGCAACTGTCTGGTGCGGATTTTGGTCAGGCGGCGTGATTGGGCCTTACTTTTTTGAAGATGAGGTTGAAATTGCAGTGACTGTGAACGGCATCCGTTATAGGAATATGATAATGGAGCTCTTGTGGCCTCAACTGGACGGCATGGATCTGGAAAACATCTATAAACCTGCCACACCGCGCAAGAAACAATCGAATTATTGCACCAACGATTTCCAGAACACATTATCTCACAAAATTCTGATGTCAACTGGCCATCAAGATTGTGCGATTTAACGCCGTGCATTTTTTTCTTTGGGGTTTTGTGAAATCTTGGGTTTATTCGAATAAACTAGAAACATTTCCGGAGCTCAAATCAGAGATCTAATGCGTCATCGGTGAGATACAGCCATATCTCTGTGTAAAAGTTATGGGAAATTTCATGTAAAAAGTAATGGCCTGTCACCAGAGCCGTGGGGGCCATTTGACGAATATTTTATTCCATACTTAATCGCAACATGTCTTTTTTACAATCCAATAAAAATATCACAACTCTTCCATAAAATACGTGTTTTATTTTAAAATGAAAAAGTGCTCTCTTACTGAGACATCCTTTATAATGAGAAGAGATAAAAACACCAACTTTCTAATAACTCGTACTTTTGTTCGCTTGAAATAAAATCTCTTTAAATACCCCCTTTGGGCGTTCGCCAACCAGGATTGGCGTTATATTTCTTTTTTAAATATCAGCAGAAACTTTGTTTGGTTTCATAATCGAATGAAAATTCAGATTTTTGTTTAGTTTAAAGGATGAGATTAAATTTGTTTATTTATGTAAATACTAATATAATTTACGTGAATTAAAAATAATGTTTACAGTTACAGTTAGATTGTATACCAGTGATCTTTAAAAAATCTGGTAAATTGATTATGTTAACCTTTACAATACAATTTTCTTTTAGATTGTATTGTAAAGTGCTTATATGGGAGAATTTGGAGCAAGGACGGGTAAAAAAATTAAATAACTATTTGAATAACATCGGAAACTATTTATTACTGGTTCACCTACTAAAAACTGAAAGGTGTAATTGATTATGCAAATAATATGCCAAATCTGTTCAACAAAATCTCAATTTAATACGCTTATAAATATCGAAAGAAAAAAAATGAAATACTTGTCTAAACTACTAGCCAATTTATGAAGTTAAGTTTTCTATTCGCTGCATTAAACAACACTCAAAATCAAGTTTGAACTAAGCTTGAATAAAAAGCCCTTGAAGTTAAGAACTTACGACACTTAAGTAAATCCGATTGTGTCACAATCCGGAACTTAGCTTACATACACAGTCTTTGTCAATGGATTACTTCTCAAGAACACCTTAAATCAAATCGTATCTTCCAGATTTTTATACCTTTCAAAGCAAAATGTACCAAAATTCTAACTCGACAAGCCACACTTTCGGTTGCTTATAAATTTGTCAGATAACTCATGTCTACTTATACATGACTCTTCATTTCCTTGTCTTTGTCAAACTAAAATGTACTTTATTGTTTATAACATGACGACGGTTTTCGCAGGTAGCTGAATGTCATCATGAAGGACGGGAATGCATTATGGTGTCGAGCGGAGCTGTGGCGTTCGGGAGACAGAAGCTGACACAAGAGCTACTTATGTCGCTCTCGATGAGAGAGACTTTGTCTCCAAGCGATCATACTAGAGAGGTTAGTGATTGATATAGTTGATAGTGTGACAGATGTAACTTTATGATATTTTTTGGTAAAAACCTTGAAGATAAATCACCGAAAGTGGATGCTTTTACCAGGCAAAAAGTGAAATATTGCTTTGATATGACGTAAGAAGATTGATATCTAGCGGAAATTACACAAACTGATAGGCAAGCTTCAAACTTCTATAGTGTGTATGACGATTCATTTTTACATTTTACTACGAATTAACCATACAATAGAAAATGGTATCCAGTAAATATTAGTATTATTATGCAAACTCTTTACTTTTTTAATGTAAAACGTCGCTATTCACGGAAGAATCTTGTTTATTGGAACAAGAAAACTTTTGTTACAAAATTATAAAGTTATTTTACCTTTTCATCTTTCTTTTGCGTTAAAAAGTTTATATTAAACTAGTTTATATCTGCGGCTTTGCTTGCGATAATACTCATTTTCTCTAGGATCGTAATTGTGCTACTTCAAGCTACAATCTATCTCTGTGTCAAATTTCATCCAGATCCGTTAAGCCATTCGGCCGTGATTGATAACAAATATCCATTTTAACTGTCACAGTTATAATAGCAGTAAGATATTTTGATACCTAATTTCTATCTCCATGTTAATACACAGATCCAGTACCGAATTTGCATATAAAATGAAGTTTAGGCACAAACCGAATAGTATTCTGGCAATGTTATTGTTACCTGGGCGAATTCATTTGGTTTACCTTGTTCGTTTACATTATGTTGTCCATAAATATATTCATTTCCGTACACTAACGTTACATAGTGGCAATTCATTTCTGTTTTGTTACAGGATGCGGGTAGTATCTTGGACCCCAGAGCAGCGGCAGCTGTGGGACAATCGGAACTCATGGCAATGTACGACGCCATGTTTTCACAGTACAATGTTAAAATTGCGCAGGTGAGTTTGTTTCGAATGAAAGGATTTAAATTCGGTTAGAATTTGGTTGTTTTTTAATTGTTGCCGATTTGAAAAAATCTTATTTTAAAAGATAATTAAAAATATTCTGAAAGGAGTAGTCAAAAATTTGAATATAATTAAGAAACTCCTCCGTTAAATACCTCTCGAAAAATAAATATCGATGGCATTACACGTATATACGTAGTAGTTATGAAAATTCTCAAAAAGCTGTGCGTTTATCCGTCAGGTTACTTTAACTACTAGTATATTAAACTAAACAGATGTGCTCTTTAATATCATATTAAAGTTATTAACTGTTGTAATATTAATGAGTAAACATTACACTGCTAATACATTTATCTGTAAACAAATTACCTGATCTAATAAATATTACTTTTTAGTAGTATTCAAATTAACAAAAAATGGTAAACGTTGGCGTGATTTAATTTAAACTCACAACATTTTGATTGATGAAAGTGCTTTGAACATATAGACTTATTTACAAATAAATAATTCGGGAGCAATCATACTTTATTATATATATATATATATATATATATATATATATAATGAGGGTATAAATATATCCAATACAATATATACTCTTTGAGATGATATATTTTTTATCTTTCAAGATGGCTGGCAGGAGCTGGATGCGAGAAGCCCAAAATCGATCTAAGTGGCGTGCAATGGGAGAGGCCTATGTCCAGCAGTGGACTGCGATAGGCTGATGATGATGATGATGATGATGATATACTCTTTGAAAACTTTTACTAACATTTTAATACTGAAATATCATATTCTGTTTCATAAAATTCAATTAACCAAAAATGAAATGTAACAGTTACGTTATCTTACCTTAACCTCCACTATTGTGCGTAGTTTTATTTTTCTTAACACATTATTACGGAACAGACTGTCTTGCTTTTGCCTTGGATTTTTTGAGAAGGTACGTGTGATTCTCTTTTTTGCCGCTGGAATCGAGCAACTGTTATGAGGTTATTGGAGAAAGGAGTATATGAAACGTGCCGACAATAGACTTGCTGCTTTATTATTAGAACGTGGGACTGACAGCATAGCTACATGTACGTTAATACTTTTTTGGGGTAAAATGTATAATAATAAAATAAGGATGAAACTGATTCATTGCTTCTTTATTGCTTTATATTATTTATCAAGGATATGCAAAAAAAAAGCAATGAAAATTTATGCGGAGAATATTTCAGAAATAAATCAGGATCAAGTGATCAACAATCTCTTGTACGTTATATTAATACATACTACATAATACAGTAATGACTGGTAATTGTGGATCACACAATGTATTGTCCCATGTGGGGATCGAACCCACAACACTCGAAGTGAGAAGCGGCGAGGTTCCGTGCAGTCAATTTAAAATCAATCGATAGTACGTCACCAGTACAAGGAAAAAATATTCCCTCAAAGCATACATGCTTCTCTACGGAGAAACATAAAACTTGACTTTTTAGTTTTGTGATGTGCGATAAACTTGAAAATAGTCACTTTTACTAACGTTTTCTTTTAAGGTTGACATAACAACAGTAGGTGGATGAACTAAACGATTCAATATTAGCGTAACTTGTAAACTGCGCGATAGTTTTCTTGTTATTTATATACCAATGACATTCCTGTTTATGGGCTACGGCTAAGTTTCAATGGTAATATTATTCAAAGCAATCTTCATCCCATATCGAAGCTTTCTTTGCAACCTTCATCTAGGGTTGTTATGAGTTTAATAAGTGTACTTATATCTATGCATCTGTATTTGTTCGTGACGTGTGTGATAGGTTTTTAATGATTAGACCGATTTTCATTTATATTTTTGCTTGAAAATTGACTTGATCTTGTGTTTTTAGTTTTATTTCAAGAAAACGATTAATCAATTTAAACATCAATAGCTCTTTTATAATCCTTGAAGGAATGTAATTAATTTAGATTGATATGATCCGTTTGAAACTTAATATTTCTTTGGGTTTCGTTCTTGAGTAAAATGGCCTCGTATTTTAAATTAATAAATTCATACTTGTTCATCTTTGAATTTAATAAAAGCGACTTAAAACATTGTTTAAAGAGAGAGTCATTATAGTCGTCTTAACCGTAGCTTGGTGATCAGACACAAGTCAACAGACACAGTGAATAAAATAGCTACTAGGTGACGAAGGGAGAATTTATTCTATTTCAACTTGAAAGATATACTTATATGTTAAGTTAATTACAAACATATAAGTAAAGCGTTCAAGTTGACTATGAAAAAACAAAACCATCTAAGTATTTAGTATTTTCATACCAAAAGCTGAACACTTGTTTACTAATTCGTCATAATATAATGTAAAATTATGCGCAAAAATGTTTGTTATTCGAATAAAAATGCATATTTTATGAAACATAAGCTCTGTCTCGTCTGTTCCGTGTAGCGGCGGTCGGTTGAAAAAATTAAAATATTCAGATATTTACGCAAGTGGGTATGCATCATTCATTAACATATAAACAAATGACTGTAAAATTGTTATACTTTTTATGAAATGAGGTTTTTTTATTTTCCTTTTTAAATTAATTTGAAATCATGAAATAGAATTAACAGTTTGTATGTAAGAGCCCTAGCACACTTGCTACTTGTCTCTTGTACTTGCTGCTTAATAGGCGATGGCGAAGTCGAAGCTACAATCGAGTTGTGCCTTGTCAGTTTGACTGATTACTAATTAGTCAAATGTAAAAGACATCTTGGCATGTTTAATTTTTTTGTTAAATATAAATTGGGAACCATAATTTCAGTTCGTTGTGTAACGGACTGCTATTCCAAAGGTCGCAGGTTCGATTCCCGCTCAGGTCACATATTTGTGTGAATAAACATTTAACATTTGATTTGGTCTGGATGTTTCTATGTATGTACAAAAAAAAGTAATTTTGTATTTATATCAGTGTCTAGTAACCATAGAACATGCTCTGCTTAGTTTGGGACTAGATGGCGTTGTGTGAATGTGGTAGAATAAAAAAAAATACTATGCTTGCCTATTGCACCTGTTATTCCAATTCACTACTACTGATTTTACAGACTCTTTAACCGAACGAGTAGTGTGCAACACATTGAAGTTTTCTCGTTGATACTTTCAAATATGGGCACACTACGTGAGGCAAGAATATAAAATTCCAAATTGAATTACTAAAACATAATATCTGGTCATCGAATATTGAACTGTATATGCTTGAATAGAAGGGTATTTATTAACATGGCAACCGAAGCATTAGAGCTTAAAGTTATTTCCAATGTTGCTGTAAAGCGCTCTACAGGCCGTAAAATGTGTGCCAACTCATACCTTCGCTTAAAGCAGTAAATTGAATAAAGCTCTTAGCTTAGGTAGCTCTAGTAGTATGTAAACATACACAAGCAGAACAGTAAAAAAAATGACTTAAGAAGTATATATGTAGGTATATATTTCGATATTTTTGCTGTAACTCTCCCAACTTCGGGATCTTTTAAATTAATATTATAGTAAGAACTACGGCGAATTCTTCTTAGACCATAATTTGAGCGTATTTAAATTTTATTTATAGGAAATTCAATCTAGTAAATATGTACGCTTTTTGAAACCATCGTCAGTAAGACCCGAGGCAAAGAAAGAAAAATATTATAAGCATCATTGATTATTTTAATTGTCTTAAATAGTTTTAAATAAAAATTTCCACAGCCTGCAAGAATGGCTGTAAAATAGTAACACTAAACCATTTTACAGCCATTCTTTCAGGTAGTGGAAATGTTTATTTATTTGATTCACCAACAGTTATATACAATAACAGCAAGAGACGCACAAATTTTGGGCTTAAAATTAATTGCATACCTAATAACAGTGAATACTATAATATCGTCTCCAAAATTACATAAGATTAGGTAATTAAATGGTTCAGTTACAATGATAATAATGATTATATATACAATGATGTAGTTTATTTACAATTTTAGTTAAAAAATTTAAGGACTAATATATTAGACGAGTAATTACAATACACAAATTAGAATAAAAATAAGAAAAAATAATAAAATAAAATCAGTGTTCAATAAAATGTAAGATGTAAATTATAAACTATATAAAAAAAATAGTATTAGGAGGCATTAATTAGGTAATGTTGTCCAATAAAGTGTCGTAATATGATTATCACTCATAGTTTCATAATTGTAAGTACTGTTTCAATAAAGAATTGTAGTTTCTGGTACGTTTCTAAAATCATTAATTACGTACGTATATTTGAAAATCCTGTTATAGAATATAAATAAGTACAAAAAAATAAATAAAGTGGCAAGTGCAAGCTAAAAGGTTTTTTGACGATGACAAGTGACAACTCTAAACTTAACAGAAGTTTGTGCTCTATGTGCGACAGCTAGTGTACTAAAATAATGGTTTATTATATTTTTCTATTTTATTAATACGGCACACATATAGATATAATTTTCAAACAATTATGTAAAACAGTACAGAAACCAATTCGAAGAGTCGAAAGCCATAGATATATGGACAAAATCAAGAAAATATTATGGAGCGATATTTTAAATAAAATAATGCAGTGCGTAATGTAAAAATCAAATGCTAGTGCCTTTTTTGTTTTGGCTTTCCCATACAAACACTGTTTTACACATAGATTCTATAAAAAAAGCTAAATTTGATTTCAAATTTTTTTTGTATGGAGACCTGCCGTTGTTCTTTCTTTGTGTGTATAATACACTTTTACATAAATCTCATTAAAAGTCACGTAGCTTATCAAACTACAATGAATTAGAAATTGTTAAACGGAATTGGATTTTGACAGCAAAGGGTTTTGATGGCGTAGCACTACACTTTGATTTATTGTCGAAACCGAAACGTAAATTTGTTCTAAGTTGGAGTGTAATAACAATTCAATTAATTTTACTTTACTTATCTTACCGCGCCGTATAATTGAACATCATAATTTCAAACAATGTGTTGTTGTTTTGTGATATTGCATCACAAAAATATATTTTAGTGGTTGAATAAAATTGCGAAATAATTAATAGGTTGACACTGAACAAAAATTGTCTTTTATTTGGATATTAATATCTGCATAAATGTTTTATGTGACAGATATTTTTATTAAAAGCAGGCAAGCGTTGTCATCATAAATTATTCTTAAGATTATCAAATGGGTTTTTATACTCGTAAAAGTTTTGTTGGTAAGAAATGATATGGAATTATTTAAAAAATATTTATATACTTTTAATTTCAGTATTTTCATATCTGTCGGGACTGAACAGTTTTCTCTAGAGTGTTTGATGTAGGTATGCTTTATCTCTCGAGTTCAATTATTATTGCCTCTAATTTTAATATGAAAGTGGTCTCCTGCCCAAGCAGTATGGATATGAAAGGTTGATAAAAATAAACATTAATCCAAACACAGTGTCACATACTTTTTGAATTAAGAGTATTTACATTAAGAAATTAGACAATTCGGGTTTTCGGCAAAACCCAGAAGGCAAATTCTCATAATAAAAGTTCGGACACTATTCAGTTTCGAACAACTCTCAATCTCGCAACTGTCATGAAAGATATTTTCGTAGTAAAACAGTAAAGTTTTATTTTATTATTTTTTTAGAAAATACAACTCCCGCATTAGGAATATTTCCTGTGTCACCGGGGACTTTATAAACATACATGGAACGAACACAAAGAACACCCAGACTCAGAAGAACAATTTGTGGATCACACAAAGTGTCGTCCCATGTGGGGATCGGACCCAAAACACTCAGCCAAGTAGTAAGCGGCGTGGCGACCGCTTAAACCACTACGCCATTTGTGCAGTCAAACATTATTATCAAGACTAGCAGATTACTGATTTAAAATTCGGTCACAATACGATATAATCATATTACATTCAACGTTAGATGTTTAATACTTTGATGAAAGTTGTGAGATTGAGAGTTTTTAGTTTTGGAAGTTAGAGATAATTTAATACAAAACACAGATTATTTTAAAATTGAAACAAAAGACAAAAGAGTAAGAAGACTAAGAACATATGTAGACGAACTGTATTTTAAATCAAGTATAAAACAAGTTAAACATAACAGTAAAAAGAGAATTATTATTTATAATTCTTTACCAAAGTGCAACAAATAGATACTTTGATTTCCTCTTCTTATCTATTTCCTAATACACCAGCCTTATACCTCCTCCCCTTCATGTTTTCTCTCCATATCACGGTTGCCTGTAATAGATTGCCTCTGAGCGATAAGGCCGCTACTTGTACTTGTCTAACCTAGCTTAAATATTTATATATATTATTTTTGTTATTATTATATTTATGTTAAAAGTATATTCAATTTTCATATTCATTTATTCTTAAGAATAACAATAATAATCCCAAACATCTCACATACGGCCGTTTGATCACAAATTAGTCAAAGCCTGTACTATTGATACCAGACTGTTGATAAACATACTTAAATATTTTAAATACAACCAATTATTATAGGTAAATTATACCCGGACACAGAATAAATGATCTTGCTCATCACACAATATTTGTATGAATGCGGGTGGGAATGGTACCCACGACCTCCGGCTTAGCAGTCAGGGTCACTAACCACTAGATCAACAGCCCCGTTTTTGTACACGTGGCGACGTCGACGTAGTCTTGCATCGGCATATAAATCCTAACTCAATTTCAGTAACACCACGGCCTTGGCATCTGCATCAGGTAACCTACCTGCTCGTGTGTCCCGTTATGTATTAAAAAACCTTTATGATAAATAAATGAAATGGTTGTCAAATGAAATCTACATATTTTATTACAATTCGAGGTAAGAATAAAAGTGTGTCTACACTACAAACAGTCCTAATACTTCAGTATCATCTTACGAAGACACCTTATCCTCCTGCATTGTGAAATGAAAGTTCTCGTGTCGATTGTGTAGTTCACAACAACACAGGCAGCCAGGCGTGATTACTTCACACCTCACAGTATTTTTACTTTGTGTTGGAGGAACATAAAAACACGTGTACTATAATAGCTTACGCGAGTTCTCGACAGATTACGATTTTTTTAATTCGATTGATTATTACGGATTTGTTGTATTTATTTCTCTTTAATCGGACTGAATAAAACGGGATTGCTAAATAACTTACTAAACATATTTAAAAGCGCAGTAATAAATTGGTGAGATTTTTACCTTTACACACATACATAAACTAATCTTACCTTCAAAGCTACGTACTTAGATAACAGTATACTGCATCGACGTAATAGTTTTTACGATGTGACTGCATAAGATTAGTGGGAGTCTCGCAAAAATCCCACTGGATTAGGTTCAGTGTAGTTTACAACCAGCTAAGAGTTACGACCCGGAAATAATTTAATTATATGTACTCGTCTCACTACTAGTTTCTAACTTATAAAGTCTTGTAAAGGTATTTATGGGAACCAAGAATTCAATCTCTTTGTGTTTTAAACTAAATGTATGATTTTGCAATAGACGTATCTGTTTCTTTTAGAAATATTAGAACGGGTAATATTAGTAAATATAGACATAGATGTCTATCCCGTAAAAATCTCTGCAAATTATTTTTTGAATCATATTTTGAACAATTTGATAATTTTAATTGTTAATTAATTATTAATAACATTACAAGTACATTGTCTCTAAAATTAAGCCTGTAGTACTGTTTATTTAAGATGTAGCATTATTGCCGGCACAGGAGCACAGGTCAAACCAAGCTTTTTTAGTGTCTTGAAAAATCTTCATTTTCTTAAATTCTTAAATTCTAGTTAAATTGTGACAAATACAAAAACTGCGATGTTTCTAAACTAGTCGTAACAATAATGTCAAAATATAATGCAGTGGCTGAACCATTCCATGATATAATATTTTTAACGTGTTACTGTATTAAGCATTGTGCTACAACTAAAGTAGTAATACATTTATTCTGGGCCTCAATTCTGCTATTACGCCAAACCAGTGTCATACCACTGACACGCTATTGAGATGCCATCGAGTAGCCATTGACATCGAAAAAAAAAAAAAAAAAAAAAAAATCTTATGTTCTTGCGTGGGACTCAAAGTATCTCTGTATCAAATTTAATCTAAATCAGTCCAACGGTGTAGGCGTGACTCTTACACACAGAGTGTCTGTCTATGAGAGTCACTTTCATATTTATAATATTAGTATGGATAAACGGATTTTCTCACATAAATGTGTAGGTCGAGCCAGTTTCCGCCTTACACCGTCGTGGCTAATGTATCACTCCTTGAAAAAGGGCTCCCATTGAGTCTGGCCCTCCTCGCACTACTCATGCATCCCCAAAATATACACCTGGGTAAATGTGTCTACCTTTCTAAAAAAAAAGCAAAAATTTTGCTTATATTCTACTAAACTTCCAAAAAAATATCAAAATGTGCAAGAACAATGTATTATTTCCTGATGTTGTTTACAGGTACTGGTGACAAAGCCAGATTTTTATAACGAAGAAACAAAAAAGAATTTATTCTGCACGTTATCGGAATTAATATCTTTGAACATAGTGCCTATTGTGAACACTAACGACGCTGTCAGCCCACCTATGTATATTCACGATGACACTGTTGTACCGGGAACTGGAAAAAAGGTAAGCCATTTTAACCTTACGAAAATGTCTTAAATGTAAATTTCTTAGTTATGTATATAATGTCTTAGTTACAGTTCAATCTGAAATTTACACTTCATATGCAATATATATGGCTAAATAAATTCGTTACTGCTGGCTCGTCTATGAAGATGAACAACGATTTATTTTATTGAATGTTTTCTAAACTGATGAAAGTATTAAACAAATTTTTTTTGTTACAAAATGTAATATTACAAAATTAAAAAAATTAATTAAATAGAGAAACAATACATAGAACTATGAACTTTCTCATGCTGTGTATACATAGCTAAGAACCCAGTTTAAAACATAAATTTCAAATTATACATTGTAACCTTATTGCACTAAGTTCTGTTTTGCGTACCTACCTTAACTAAATAAATAAAACAAAAAAAACAAAAAAAAAAGCTAAAATATTGTGCTATAACATTAGAGATTTCTCATTACGAATCGTTTTCCTTAACTATAGCCATAAGATATTGAATATTTTATGATCACGGTATTTTATAACATCGTAAAATTTTATTTGTCATGTAGGGATTGGGTATTAAAGACAATGATAGCCTATCAGCGTTGTTGGCAGCTGAGATTCAGTCAGATCTGCTAATTATGATGTCTGACGTCGATGGCATTTATAATAAACCTCCATGGGAAGACGGTGCTCGAATGATGCACACATACACTTCAAAGGAAAAGGATCAAGTACAATTTGGACAGAAATCTAAGGTAAGTTCATGTTATCTTGTTTTGATTTAGCAATTTTTTGTTCTACAAACAACTTACTAATAAACACCCGTCAAGTAATTTTATACATGTTGTCGTCATGAATGTAACTAAGAAATTACTAAATAAAAATAATCGCAAAGATTTTAGTTCCTTCATTAAAAACCCACATGTTATACTAAATAGTTTAAAAAAGAGGATAAATTGTATGAAATAAAAGTAGAAGAAACATTGTTCAAAGGAAAAATTATCAACATTTTGTAAATGAAAAGATCAATTTTGACTGAAGTTTTCAATCTAGTAAAACGATTCTGCATCATTTTTAAAGAATATAAGTATGGAAGTTCAATTATTATATTACTTAGGTTGGTACGGGAGGGATGGACTCAAAAGTTAACGCAGCTACATGGGCCATGGCTCGCGGGGTCAGTGTGGTTATTTGCAATGGTATGCAAGAAAAAGCTATAAAGACTATCATAAGCGGTAGGAAAGTTGGAACTTTCTTCACGGACTGTGCGACTACTTCTCCGACTTCAGTTGACGTTTTGGCCGAAAATGGTGAGCAGAAAATTTAAAACGAAGTTAATTTACTAAACCAGACTATGAGGATGAATTTATGTAACTTTAGTGCATGATATTTTGTATGCCTAATGGCAGAACATAGTATGTACCTGCTATCAAAAAAAATGAATTGAATTGAAGTATTTCTGAAACGAAAATATATAGTTATATATATTTGTTCTTTTTCAGCACGGACAGGTAGCAGAGTTCTCCAAACACTATCTGCCGCAGATAGAGCATCTGCCATTTATGCATTGGCTGATAAACTAGTAGAAAAACAAGATCTTATTTTAGAAGCGAATTCAAAAGACTTAGAAAAGGCAACCAAAGAAGGCCTTGCCGCACCACTACTCAGTAGATTATCACTAAGCCCTAGTAAACTGAAAACTTTATCCATTGGTCTCAAACAAATTGCTGACTCCAGTCATGAAAATGTTGGAAGGGTTTTAAGGAAGACAAAGCTAGCAGAGAATTTAGTACTTCGACAAGTGACAGTTCCTATTGGTGTACTTTTAGTCATATTTGAATCTAGACCAGATTCATTACCGCAAGTAGCTGCCTTAGCTATTGCTTCAGGTAATGGCCTACTTCTAAAGGGTGGCAAAGAAGCTGCTAATTCGAATAAAGCCCTTATAGAACTAGTTAAAGAATCTCTTAGAACAGTCGGCGCTGACGACGCTATTTCTCTTGTGTCCACTAGAGAAGAAATAAGTGATCTGTTGTGCATGGAGAATCACATCGATTTAATAATTCCACGTGGATCATCTGAGTTAGTTAGAAGTATACAAAAACAATCACAACATATCCCAGTCTTAGGCCATGCTGAAGGTATTTGTCATGTTTACGTAGATAAAGATGCAGATCATTTAAAAGCTTTAAAGATTGTTCGTGATTCAAAGTGCGACTATCCAGCTGCGTGCAATGCTATGGAAACTCTTCTTATTCATGAAGATCACGTTCCTGGAACTCTTTTCAACGATATTTGTAACATGCTAAAGAAGGAAGGTGTTAAAATCCATGCGGGACCGAAATTGTCTTCTCAGTTGACATTTGGCCCACCTGCAGCAAGGAGTATGAAATTTGAATACGGAGCTATGGAATGTTGCATTGAGATTGTTCAGGATATGGATGGTGCCATAGACCATATTCATAAATTTGGAAGTTCCCACACTGACGTCATTGTTACAGAAAATGGTGAGTTTGATTTAGTCTACTAAGGTACAAAATGCTTCACGGAAAGTGTGTTATCTTATTGTCCTTTATAGCACCAATTCTTATCTATATTACTAATATCTTCTTGACTGTTTATTAGAAAATACTTTCTGGAATCTATTCTACTAAGATTCTTATTTATAGTAAAAACATATTGGCTATCTATGGAGTGAAGCAGCATGTTAGTAGTAGTGTCGTAGTGTAATAACATTTATTTCCGCAAGGCTTGACAGACCTGCCGACTAATATTTTGTTTGCAGTCTATTGAAAAGGGTCTGAGCTGAGAATAAAAATAAGTTAAAAAATTAATGTAAAATTTTTAATTTGTAATTCTTATTAATAGATTCAATAATAGATACCTATTAAAGTAGTATTTACACATGAAATGTTTTCTATGGGTATTGTGTTCAATTAAAAAAAAGTTTGTAAATTTTTGAGTGTGATATAACAAAGATCTTCAAGAGTATTATTGATAGTAGTAGTAGTATGTATTGATAAACTTTATATTCTTTATTTACAGAGTGCACAGCAAAGCGTTTTTTGACTGCTGTAGACAGTGCGTGCGTATTCCACAACGTATCATCGCGTTTTGCTGATGGCTTCCGCTTTGGGCTCGGCGCTGAAGTTGGTATCTCCACGGCCAGAATACACGCCAGAGGTACGTTTAGATTTCTTGTCATAGCTGTTTTGCCATTTTCGTCTCTACAATAGCCTTGTCAAATTATATCAGAATAAAAAACGGAGTTATATTTATATTACTGATTTACTCACGTGTTTATTTGAAAAAAAAACACGAAGGAATTCTTAATTAAAACTATATCACATTTAAATAGCAAGACGAGAACGGATAAAGCACATTCTAGGTGACACCCTAGTGTTTGATTGCTTTTAAAAGTAAAACCAAAGTGTCGGGTATCGAACTCGTCAAAAGTATATTAAAATACTCAAATAAACGAATTGTATGGTATTTTTTGAATTAAAATGTATTATAAATTTAAAAATCCTGTGAAAACGATCACTAAAAGCTACAGCGGTCCAGTATATGATATGACAATTGAGTTGCAGGCATTCATGGGTGGCGGTTGTCGCTTTACATCAGGTGACCCGTCTGTTCGTTTGCCCATTTATACATGTATACACAATAAAATTGTACATAATATATAAGATACACTGGACACCTACAAACAAAACAAACAAAATAAGTTCAAAAGGGGAAAAAACATACAAAGAAAAAAAAAAGCAAAGCGAACAGCTTGTATAGAAATAAAACAAGAGACTAAATTTTTTATGAATTATGTTCGAAATTCCAAGTTTAGGATATCTCTAGAACTTAAGTAGCTGAAACAAGCTTAATAGACTATAAACCTATAATTTAATATTTGTAATTTCACAGGCCCCGTTGGAGTAGAAGGCCTTTTGACAACTAAATGGATTCTTGAAGGCACAGATCACACGGCAGCCGAGTTCAACGAAGGAAAAAGGACTTGGCTCCACGAAACCTTGCCTGTCAATTGACTAGGAAAACCTAAACGAGAAAGATTTAGATTTAAACTGAGCGATTTATTCGTGAAAAAATAATTAAACTTAATACAGAGAAATAGATTATTATAGTTCTAATATAATAGAGTTACATAATATAGTTAAAATAAGTTAAAATAAATGAATATGCATGCATTCAGAAATGTATAAGTATGTTTATCAGCAGCAGCACCATTTTTTTAACGTGTGGAAGCCACGTCCAGGCCGTCACCTCACCGGGGTTTGCGGCGGAGCGGTGTGTGGGAATCGAACCGACTAAAATCACTTGGTGTGCCACTCCGCACCTGAGATAGGAGGGGTCCGGGAACGGCTGGTATGAAGACATCCGGACCCCTCCCAGCGGCATTCTGGTCACCATAGCACAGCATATGCCTGGTTTGGGTTCAGACGTTCGTGTGTGAGATGTGTGAAGTTAATACCATTATTAATAAAAATTAAGAATAATATAAACCTTTCAATAATTACTGTTCTCAATTGTATTTTCTGAGTGTCTAATGAAACATTATCAGGAATATCTTACTTGTCGATTTTTTTCCTTTTTTGTTGATGATACAACTTAAAAGTTAATTAAACCTAGCAGAGTTGAAAGAAAGTAATAAAGTTTTTGTGTACGAAACAAAGCCTCTTGATTGGTTAGAAAACCGAAAGGAAAAAGCCATTTGCTTAAAAAATAAATTTAAACAGACCGTGAATTTTATCATAATTAAAATACCTTTGTACACGTGCCTACATTAAAATAGGATGATATTCTCGTAGACTATATTCTTGTTTAGATGTACAATTTAAAAACATGTCACGTTTATACTAATATTATAAAGATGAAGAGTTAGTTTGGTTGAATGAGCTAATCTTAGGAACTACTGATTCGAATTCCTTCCCTTCACTTCCCTTCCCTACCCTTCCAATCCCCTCCCCTTTATTCTTCCTTTACCTTCCTTTCAAAATAAAGAAAGGAAAGAAAGGAAAAGAAAAGGGAAACCTTTTCTTCCCTTTCTTTCTTTCCTTTCAGTTTTCCGTTTCACACTTATTCACTTTATAGAAGATTTCGTTTAAAAAAATAGGTTTTCTGCACTTATACATATAAACATTAACTTGTATTCCAAATCTGACATGATTCTGTACATAGAGTACAAATAATTTTGTTCCCATAATTATATATTTATAAAAAAAGGTGTTTAGTTTCCAATTGTCTTCCTAAACGATTTTCAGAGTAAGCAAAATTTGAACACTGTAATTAAGTCAGGGTTTTGTAAAATATTGCAGGCTTTTGGTAATTATCATATTTTAATATTCAAGAACAAAGCAACAGACTGGAGTTACTGTTTTAGGCATGGAATTCTATTTGTAGAATTGTTTTCAAAATTCAGATATCTAAATAGTCTGGTTTTGATGTAGGTGTTTATACATATGTTTATTCACAGGTATTTCTTTGTAAGATACGCAGAAGCAGGCCAGAGATGGTGACACAACGAGTTGCGTGCTCTCCTCTCTGAATTGGAGGGCACAGGACTCTCCAGACATCACAATAGGAGCGCCTACCTTAACAGATGGCAAAGTCTGCTGGGGTTTCCAGAGATTTCCTTTCTAAGTTATCCCCGAGAAACATTTTTGGCAATGGTCGAGGTGTCGACCCGAGGTGGTTCCCATATAAAAAGTATATAAAAAAGTGTCTACTGCTGGACAGGAATATTTTTAGAAAGAAGATTTTGGCCTACTATACCACGCTGTCAAAACGGGTTGGTATAGGGTTTGTTTCAAGTTTCCCTTCTCTTTGCAGTGGTGTTGTCTTGCGTAGTTTGCTACCTTAGTCAGTAGTGGGTACTCTACGTATTCCAAATCTGTCACCACACAGACTGACAAAAAGTGTACATTTATAAAAATACAAAAGATAATATATATAGAGCAGACATGTTAAATAAAGAATATATTGAAACTAGTAAACTATGTATGTGTAGTTGTACCTCTGAGGGAAACCAATTGTCTTAAGTAAAACTTGTATCGATTCTTCCGATTGAATGGCGAAAACGGAACTATGCCGATGTGCTGATAGGAGAAGAAGATAAGGAGAAACTGACTTTAGTTTTTATGCGATGCTAAATGGGGATTTAGCAGATTTAGGGACTTCTGCAGCTAATAAAAACTTTAGTCGCTGACACTACAACAATAGACTTAAATTAATAGTTATTCTAGGTATGCACAGTAAGTCACAGACGAATAAAGTTTGCTTTAATATTCCTTCCTCAAAACTATCTCGTTTACCGATAACCGAAGTATCACGTTAATTAATTTTAACAAAACAAAGAGAGTAATTTGGCAATCGAACACAGCCTTTACATACAACATAGTCTATTTAAAATACTCGTAGTATATTATGCTTCGTTTAGAGTTTGCTAGCCTGTCATGCTCGAGCTATTATCCCCGACGTATCCGTATAAGTACTATGCCTCTCCTACCATTGTTTTCCCTTGCTGTCTACTATAGTTAAACCGCCGTAAGCTTGACCCTCCTGATGGTTTGGCGGACGCGGGGCGGGGGTGCATTCAACCAATTAGCTAGTGCGTCGCTGTCCGCCGACTGTGACTGACGTGAAAGCATGGCCGTACGTGTTATTTTTCTTAAGACTGCTACACACGGTATTATTTTGCAACATGGATAATCTGCCGACTCTGCGTCACAATAAGATTTAAAAATTTGAAGTTCGGCTTACAGAGGTTCTACTGTTAAAGTTCTAATAAAGAATATTTACTATTTTACTTAATTTTTAAATTGTATCTGAATATAATTTACATGATAAAGATAAGGTGATTTTATTTAAATTATTTTACAGTATTAAATTTTACATTTAATCATAAAAACTTACAATACACTGACATTATAATACATGGAAATAAATTCGATTTTTATTACATCGTGTGTAGATTAAATCTCAAACAAATAAATCTGAAGATATCGAATTAGTACATCGTGTCATGTATAGCCGAGCGCATCACCCGCCCCGCGTCCCGCAAACCATCAGGAGGGCCAAGCTTACGGTGGTTTAACTATAATGACTTGACTTTGACTGCACGGATGGCGTAGTGGTTTAAGTTGTCGCCACGCCGCTTCCTACTGCGCCGAGTGTTGTGGGTTCAAACCCCACATCGGACGACACTTTGTGTGATCCACAAATTGTTGTTCTGAGTCTGGGTGCACTTTGTGTCCGTTTCATGTATGTTTGTAATGTCCCCTGCGAGACAGGATTTATTCCTAGTGGGGAAGTTCTTTAAAAAAAAAGAGAAAAATTGAAGAGCGAGGTTATTTGACTAAAATTATAGTTGGCAAAATATGAGCGTTTAAATAATGCATGTAGATTTTCATTTTTTACTAAGTTTTTTGCCAAATCATTCTAACATATTATATTATTTTATATTTTCCATGAGGTAAATGTGGCGAAGAAAGTTTTAGAGATGGGCGTTGATGGGTGCAAGAGAAGAGGAGGAAAAGGTGGATGGACTGTGTGAGTGAGGATATAGCTAGGAAGGGAGTAAACAGTGAGATGACGAATGATGGAATAGAATGGAAGAATCATACATACTGCGCCGACCCCAAATAAAATTGGGTTTTCCCAATGGTATCCTAAGGGTAGGCAGATATGATGATTCTAAAATATAATTCTAATTACCGTTTCATACGGAAACATTAATTAGCTTCGAAAAGTCTCGAATGAGACAACGGATTTTTTTCTTTATCCGATGTTAATGTTTATTTTGAACCTATTTATTAAGCCAAAATGATTTGCAATTGCATAGTTCTATTACGAGTAGAGCTGCTTAGAGCAGATATCGTCTCTTTGGAACTCCATTTGGTGTGAGGTATGTTGAATATTCGAAGTACGTCTTTGTATTAAAACTGAGATCGCCTGTTGGGGTATAAGCATAGTTTAGTGGAAGGTGCTGTAACTTAACTGACATAGTTGATAAAAATTTCGAAAACATACAGATTGATTCTAGTTTATAAAGCGTTTAATGAAATTAAGCTAAATATTTTTGTTTAGCTTTAAAATTCTCAAATCGTTTATGTTATTTTGCCGTGGTAGAGTCATATGGCCGGAGTGACACCATAACCTGGCAGAATAATTGTGTATTTATTGAATTGTAGCCGGTTAAAGATGACCATGGGTGCCGGTAGTCAAATAACTGAATACCGAAGGAGTTTAGGTGAAGTGAGAATAAAATGTTCCTATGTTAACCGGAGTCTCGGAGTCAACAGGTCACTGTTAAACTGTCGCGTTTCAATATATATAATGTATATTATTTTATGTTTATGGGAGTTACTGCGTCTGTCAGCCCGTGACCGTGACAATGCATCCTGGACGAAACATCAGGCAATCCAAAGGTATGTACTAAATAAATATCTTAATCGTGTTAATTTCCGTTCCCATAATTATATACAAACGGTAACCAGTAATTACTTTAGAATTATTCAAAAAGGTTACTACATGAGTACCCCTTTAGTATCTTTGTGACATTTTCCTAAAACACTTCTGTCTGATAATATTGTGTGAGCAATTTGCATTCAAATGGTCTATCCCAAGTTTCAATAGGAGCGGTTAGGATCCCTTTATATAATGATAGACTACACTGTGTACATAGACCATAGCTGTAATTAGTTTTCTCTTTCAATATTCTAGGATAATAATTTGTATGCATAAAAGAGACTAGCCTCTTTTCAATCTTGAATTATAGTTATGGATATGTTTTTAACTTGTTTAGATAGGTTGATGGTGCTTTACTATATCGGATACAAATAATTTCACAATACCGACATAAAATTGGATGCGAAGTGATAGAAGGAGGTCGTGACTATGAATAGAATTGTACCAAGTTTATTTTATTTAGAAAAACAATAGGGGTTAGTCTGTTTCTACAAAGCATAAGTTAGAGAAATATATCTCACATATCACACACACAGCCGTCTGATTCCAAACTAGGCCTGTA